CTCTCTCTCTCTCTCTCTCTCTCTCTCTATATATATATATATATATATATATATATATATATATATATATATATATATATATATATATATATATATATATATATATATATATATATATATATATATATATATATCTTCAATTATTTAACTTATATATATATATCAATAAAATCATATTAAATTATCATTTTTTATTGATAAGTTAGTGCTTCATTTTCCTAAAGTTAAATTCATAAAGATAAAGATTATTAATTCCTTTGTAAATAAATTCATTTAGAGATTCAATGTCATTATTGTTTTAAAATTTTATAGGACTACATATGTTCAAGTAAATCTAAGAACAAACACAAAATCAGTGATTAAAATAAGGTGAATTCTCATAAGAAGCTATTGGCTTCGACGTTTTTTTCCCAAAAAAAGGTTACAGTTATGTTTGACCACAGCATTTGATGGTAAACACAACTCAATTTCACTAAGCAGGCACAAAATAAATTCAATATCTCCAACTTCAGATGGTTGAATGATTTATTACAGCTTGTCTAACTCTGCTCTGCCTACAAAATGATGTTCTTGAGACTCGGCATGTGTTGGCAGCAGCAACAAATGATCATCACAGGGTGAAGTCTGGGAATGGATTATAGCCTGGAAGGCATCCCTCCGGCAACCACAAGTGTTTCTCCAGGAATGTTGGATGAATCATCAGATGCCAGAAAGGCTGCGGCAGAAGCCATGTCTTCCGTAGACCCGGGCCTCTTAAGCAAAGTCTTCTCCTCTCTGGTTTTTCTCTGCATATAAACGTGTTTACTTTTGGTGAAGATCGAATAAACAAGAATTTAATGAAGACGACAGTCTTGGATATTTCTAGACAGCAAAACTGACATAAAATGGTCCTTATCAATAATATAAGTAAGATGAAAATTACATACAAGTGCAGTACTTTCTCAAATAGCAATAATAGAGTCCTATGAGTTCAATATCTAAAATAAGAAAAGAAGAAAAAAGCAAAGTAGAAATAAAAAGACTATACTGAACTTCTCATCAGAACACTACGAGATCTTCAATGCCAGTCATAGACTTGACTACCCTTGATTTGGGTCCTTTGGACTATCTAGACCTAAAATACTCCAGACTCAGGTGATTTACACAATCAGATATCATGCCTATTTATAGACATACTATGCCACGTTAAACTATGCTAAGATTATCTTATATTATCATATTCACATTTATTTGATTTTATTAAAACTTTATTACCTCATCTAACCGGTCTAAAACTCAATCCTACAAGATAAAACTCTTAAAATCTCTGCAAGAGATATTACTTTAAATGTCACAAGATGTATCCAAGATTGTTATACAAATGCCAATCAACTGCAAAGATGGACCATAAAAGCCATAATCAGAAGTTTTCTGACATCAAAATATAACTAACTTTTGGTCACTTGAGAAGGCTATAACATAGATGTAGACGAGATTGAGTAATGTACTTCTGCGCAATCGTTTAGATGATTTGGATGGTCTAATATGAACCTATATAAGCAGATGTGGCTTAAAACTTGGTAAATTCAAGTTCTGTCAACAGATCAGAAAGGCAAGATCCTAAGGGACAAGGATAGGTAACAGTGTTCAAAAACTACACCAACATGCAACTTGCCAAGCACAAAGAAGATTTTTGTCAAATTAGCTTGCAAATAAAATTAGCTTAAAGTGCATGAGCAAAACAGTAAAAAGAGGCAATCAACAAGAAGTAGAGAATGCATACGATGGCATCATTTTCGTGATAAAATCAGCAAAATGTGTGGGCACAAATCCAGGAGCTAGACAGTTCACTCATCTCAGCAGCAAGAGCCTGCAAGAAATTTAGAACAGAATATCATGTACAACTGCATAGTCAAGCCAGCAGTAACACATACTTCTACTATATTCCAAAACATAGTCAAGCCAAAAGTAATCTGAATCAGTCACAAGGGAAAGATTAATCGAAAAAAGTGTCCTATCACTCCACCATATAATGCACAGTACATAAATTAATGAAACAACAATAAGAAAGAGATAAGTGCCTTAGTAAGCTCGAGAAGAGCAGTCTTTGTGACACCATACATGGCCATGGATGACTGCGGAAGATAACCTGCAATTGAAGATATAAGGATGACGGATGATCCCGTCTTCAAGTAAGATGCAGCAGCTTGCAAAAGACACGAAGTTAATATTCTCAAATAAGGCTAAGTGAAACCCCATTTGCATATAAATTATCTGCAGAATAAGAACTGAGGAATTCACACTGATCTCCCAAAGTTTATCAAGCACTGACGCTCTGGTATCCAGAATGTTATCCACTGACGGATTAGCAGCAGCATTCGACACAACTATGCCTATGTGACCATATTTCTGCAACAAAAGCAAAATATGTTTATGCAATTCTGTAATCTAATAGAAAATGGCAAACTGGATACCATGTCACTCCCTTCGAATAAGTATTCAAAGCCAAAAGCCAAAATCCAAAATCCAAAGAAAAACGGCCTCAAAAGTTAAATCAAGAATTTTGGAATGAGGAAAAGATTATCAACCTAATCAATGCATAAAATGCAAGGAACACTCAAATTTTTGGAAAAGAAAGATTTTATTTATTTGGTGTCTGAACTCCAGATATTTGTTGAAACGGTATCAATGCAAACTTCCAACATACCATCAACTAGCTAACATGATGGAGGCTGAAAATTGATCAAGTATATCTTCTCACCAATGTCTTACTTCTCTCCAACTAGTCCATCATTGACAATATAAGGAGTCCATATGTTAGTTTCAGCAGCCTAATCTAAACACAAAGACACAGACCTAATGATACAAAACCAGGCATTGACTTGACAAACACCACCCTCTTCTTTTGTCCAATTTGATTTGATCTTGGCCTCCATCTGCTGGATTCCTCTCGCCTCCTGGGTGCATCAGGATGCTACACTCCAAAGCATATTCTAGACAAATGACACCGAGCTAACGAGAGAGGCAACAAAATCAATTCAGAGGGGTTCTCCATTGCAAATAAAAGTGTGCATGGATCAGCAATTAAAACCACAAATCCCATCAAATTCATCAATTCTCTGTTGATGGCTAACAACATCCTGTCTAAGTTGGTTCAATCCAAGAATCTGGAAAGTTCCATAGTTGTTGGTGGTCAGCTGATCAGATTAGAAAAAGGATCATGCAGCTGTTCTAAGGCCTGTCTTATTTGCTCATGAGTGTCTTAAGCAAGGTAAAAGCCTAAGGCACCAAAGTGTCTGGCAGTGACAGCTCTGAATTTTGCATGACGGTGTTGTTCATCAACATCAAAGAATTTTTGGCGCCTTTTCCCGAAATTATTCTCTGTCTCTTTCTCTCTTCTCTACTTTTGTTCGATCTACAAAATTTTATTGCATCTTCAAGATTTCTCTTCCTTGTACTTAGTTTCTTAGGAGGAGAAGCGCTAACCTGGACGGTCTTCTCGATGAGATCGTGCCGGTGCTGGGGATTCGAAACGTGGCAGACCACCCCCATCACCTCGATTCCCTTCGACATCAGCTTCTCCGCCGCCTCATCGACGTTCCTCTGATCGTGCCCCAAAACAATGACAACATCGACAGACCATCAAGGACGAAGTTTTGGACAGAAAAAGGAGAAGGGAGGCGGAGCGGACCTGCTTGCGGGAGGAGACGACGACGGCAGCGCCCTCGAGGCCCAATCGCTAGGCGACAGCGAATCCGATCCCTTCGCCTCCATCTCGCTCCAGTCGGCGAGCGAACGAGGAGGAGGGACAGGCGTATCGACGTTTATACTGAAAGAAGATGGCTCCTTTGTCCGCAACGCCTTGAATACATATCCTAAACACCGTAATTACCCACTCGAGTGAAAAAGAACAGACGCTAAAATAGAATTAAAAAGATAATTTCGTAATCTCATTCTTATCGGTCAAATAAAAAAAATAAAAAGAGTGAAAAAATATTCAATTGATTTTTTTTAATACGTTCGTAAGTTTTAATGAAAAGTGAAATACTTAATAAAAATGATCTCTCTTATAATCCTATCTCCTCCGAACTATTAATTTTTTTATTATTTTTTTTATAAAATTTATAATAAAAATTAATATCAATAAAAATAATATTATAAAATTATCATTTTAACCTTGTTTTGATGTCATTTTCTACATTTGATAGCATACTCGATATTTTCACACTGACATAAGTAAAATTAAAATTAAATATTTTACTTTCATAAATATAAAGATCTTAATATTTTTTCTTTAATCCTCTAAATAATAACATATATATATATATATATATATATATATATATATATATATATA